GCTAAAGATTGCAAGTTGAAACTCTACAATTATGTAGGATCCTGGATTAATTCCTTAGTTGATTGCTCTAGCCAAAACTCTCGGAGTGGTTTGGTTTGGTAAGGAGGTAAAAGATCTTGTTGGAAGCGAGTTTGAAGGAATATTCATTTGTATCTGGTTCAATGTCATTCTTAACGACCGGTGTTCGATATTTTAAAATATTATTGTAAGTCGAAAAAAAATTTAGGATCATAAAGTAAAGTGTAAAGTGTACCCATTCTAATTTTCATTCCAATGCAAATGATTTGTGGCTGCCAATATATCTCAAGGTAACAAAAATGTATTGTTTTAGGATATATCAACATTTAGTCTCCGGTTCAAATTTTGTCGACCAATCCTTTCAAATTCACATCTTTCTTGAAAGAATTTCTTGTGTAATTTGTTACATAAGGATGTATCAAATTTTTTCTTTTTTAATTACAGTAGATATTATCTAAGTAAGTCCTTTTTAAGTAAGTCCTTTGTAATTCAACATCTGTACGAAGCTAAAATTCAAATTTAAAAGAATAACAAAATTCATATTATCTATATTCCATGTCTGTCTCTCTCAATCTTAATCGAAGTTCAGTATTTATTTCTGTTAAGCATCAAACACCACATTTACTTCAAAATAAGCATGTTGATTTTGAATCAATCAAAGTAACTCTAGTATTGTCATCCTTGAGTTCGATAGTCCTGATAATTATGTTAGAGTTGTAAATGTAATTCAATTACTGCCTCGTTAGCAAAAAAAAATTACCTACATTGTTTGGCTTCTTGAGAACATGTTTCATTTCTGGTTCAATACATCATAACATGTTAGGAGATACCCTCTTGTGGGGATTATTTATTCAAACTTCCATATAAAAGTTGTATCTTCATCTTTCTTAGTATCATACAAGTACAAATGAATACAAGTATCATACAAAAGTTGTATCTTCATCTTTGTAGGTTTTCTAATTGATAAATTCTTCAAGTATTAATTGTTTATATCTATTCTCAGGTTCTTCTGAATTCAAAACTTATTCCACAATTGAAACTAATTGAAATGGCGGGAAAAAAAGTTATTGTTTTGCTATATTGAGGTGGACGAATGAATTATGACTCAGAAGGTTTATCATACAGTTGTCCACCAAAAAGTGGTATTGTTATCAATAGTGGTACACAACTGCCAGAGTTATTGAGTAAAATTTACACTGTAATGGGGTTGGACAGGGCACATAACAAGTTGAAGTTAACTTGTAGATATCCTTTTATAGTTGGAACAGGACTAGGACCAAACATAAATACATATGTCGATCTAGAGATTCTCAACGATGAACTAGTGACTTCTATGGTTAATGTGGTACTTGACAACCCCAACATTGCTAGTGATGCTTTGTACGTGAAAACGGAAGACATCAATGTTGGCATAGGCAGTAGTCAGACCGGAGGGTGCATAACAACAACTGTCATGTCTTACACTGAGTTGCTTAGGCAAGAGATGGATCCATTGATATTTCCAACTTCTGGTGTGACGGGTGAATGTTCAACTCCCGTAGGGATGTAGGTAATGGATGAGTCTGGGCAGTACTTTTACACCCAACAAAGAACTTAAACCATGACATACGGTGGGAACTCAGCCAACAATTCACTGAGTAAAAATTTTGAAATGGGTGAGGCGGGAATTGAGTTGGGTGAACTAGATGATGTCCATCAACCAATAATGCAACAATGTCCAATTCGGGAATATGAAGAAATGTATGCTAATGATCCTACAGATGTCTCCGATGATGACAATGAAGAAGAAGAGTTTGAGAAAGTCATGATTGATGAGCCGGATGACGAAGATGAGAATGGTGAAGACTTTAAGGCTGCTTAGGTGGTGGAGATGCATAAGCCTTACTCTACCTCATTCATAACCACTAAATTTGGTTAGTATACTATAGTAGATAGCTTTTGTACCATCAATTGAACAGAATTTATGGGATCCGATGAAGATGGAGTTAACAAAGGGCATGGTTTTTAAGGATAAAGCTTCATTGATTAAAGCTGTTAAATGGTATTCAATCAAGCTGAATCAAGATTTTATCATGGTCAAGAAGAGCACAACTGTGTGGGATGTACAGTGCATCATGTACAAGCAGCCTAACTGCACGTGGAGACTTCATGCTTGTTTTAGGAAAAAATTGAAAATATTTCAAATCACAAAATTTGATGGATCACATACCTACTTTTACCCTAGGATGAGTCGTGACCATCGACAATTAGACTCTAACTTTATTTGTCATAATATACTGGGACTCATGGGTGATACACCACAAACCAAAATATCGACAATTCAAAAGAATATAAAGGAGAAGTTCAAGTTTGATATTTCTTATAATAAAGCATGGATTGCGAGGAACAAAGTAATTGCTAAGATTTTTGGTGATTGAGACTCGTCATATGATATGTTGTCAAAGTTTTTGGGTGCCATCAAGAAGTATAAACCTAGCTCAATTGTGAAGTGGCAGTACAACTCTGAAACTCCTGAATATAATATCTTTTTATGAGTATTTTGGGCATTCAAGGGTTTAAATATTGTCGACTTGTTGTCAGTATTGATGGGACATTTTTGTGTGAAAAATATAAGGGAAAACTGTTAGTGGCAACTACTTTTGGTTCTAATAAGTAGTTGTTTCCTATTACATTTGCTATTGTGGAAGAGGAGAATACGTCAAGTTGGACATTTTTCCTATATTACCTTCGGCGGATTGTTCTTAGACATTGGGAAGGGATATGTTTAATTTCTGATAGGCACAAGGGGATCCTTGTTGCAGTGAACAAGGAAGATTCTAGGTGGCATCTACCTCATGGTTATCATCACTTTTATCTTCGGAATGTTCATAGTAATTTTAATACAGAGTTTAAGGATGCGCATTTGTACGATCTTATGTGGAGGGTTGGAAAGACAAGACAGGTTCGTAAGTTCGATGATTTGATGATCCAGATACGCAACGTTAAAGAGGCAGCATATAAATACTTGACTAATATACCATTGGAGAAGTGAACATTAGCCTATGATGGTGGACGACGATATGACATCATGACAACCAACATTTTAGAGGTTTTTAATAGTGTTCTCCAAGGTGCTAGGTATTTGCCCATAACTGGTTGTGTGTAGTCGATATTTTATCGGGTCACTAAGTATCATTTTGAACATTGAGACCTAGTGGCAAAATGAAAAGAAAATGGGATGGAGTTTCCTAAGTGTGTTATGGAATGATTAAAACATGCCCAACAAATGAGTCGTGTCCATGATGTGACGTCATTTCATAGGAAGCGTGATCTTGCTGAAATGTCAACTGACGGTAGTCATAAGCAAGTTGTGTATCTTGAAGATCGTTCGTGTACATGCAAAAAATGAGCAATTTACAGAATTCCTTGCTCGCATGTGTTGGTTGTATGCTCTTATTTTCAATTGCATTTTCAGCCCTACATAGATCTCATATACATTATGGACACTTTGGAGAAAATTTAGGCACTTGAAATGTTTTCTCTAGAGGATGAGCATTACTGGGATGATCCCCTATATCCCAAATTAGTCCCTAATCATAACTAATGTCGAGACTTGATTGGTTGGCCATGAACGATGTGTATACGGAATAAGATGGACTTCCCGCCAGAGGGTCATAATCAGATACATTGTGGGCTATATGGCGAACTGGGTCGCAATCGTCGGAAGTGTACATCCATAAATACGCGGGTTCCAGCATCCCTTCAGTAGATTGTAATTTGTGATTTTGTGAGCTTGATATTTTGTTATATGTTATAATCATTTGTGAATTGGACCTTATGATGTGCTTATGTTGTAATATTATGATGGTACACTGTCTTGTTTTTACATGTTTGTTGAAATGATTTGTTTGATGTTTGATGATAGATTTGTTCATCGTATTTTGAATTGTATTTTTTTTTATTTTGTGAGCTTCATAAGTTGTTGTATGTTATAATCATTTGGTGTATTGGACCTTATGATGTGTTTATGTTGTAATATTATGTTGGTACAATGTCTTGTATTTACATGTTTGTTAAAATGATTTGTTTGATGTTTGATAGTGGATGTTGTTTTTGCAGATTCATGTAGTTATTCATCATGGAGACCGATGGACGGCGGTTAGTACATCCTGGTCCACAGAACCACTCTATTCTTGCATTACAGCTCGATCATTGATTAGAGTACATCTGGCAGGGCATAGATTTGCCTCCGTTGCACTGCAGACGTAGTAATCGCACCGCATGATAGTTGCATGTCACAGATGAGCATGTGCTCCGTCATTTGGTTACAATTGGCTTTTACGGGGCACACAAGATTGCGTCCAAGCGGTTGGACTATGCACTCATCATAGCGCTTGTTGAGAGATGGCGCTTTGAGACGCATACTTTTCATCTTTTGGTGGGAGAGGCTACTATCACTCTTCAGGATGTTGCTATTCACATAGGCCTACCGATTGATGGTATTGTAGTGTTTGGGAGAGATAGTTGTCCAGCAGACATGACATGACCAACATTATGCCAGTAGTTGCTCGGATTTACACCTGCCAAGGGGCTATCGACGAGTCTTCCCTCAGGCTTTCTGTATTGCGGGGGCATTTGGATGGAGGTGTCTCAGTAGATGCTGATGATGATTTTATTGCTTCTTATGCCAGAGCCTACATCATGCTGCTGATTGGATCATACCTTTTCCTAGACAAGTCTTCTAGTAAGGTGAAGTTGATGTACCTTTCGTTGCTTGTCGATCTTACCTCAGCTAGTTAGTACAGCTGGGGTAGCGTGACATTGGCCTGGCTTTACTGCGAGATGTGCATTGCTAGTAGACGTGATGCTAAGGACATTGACGGATTACTTGTTCTAGTACAGGTACTTGCATACTTATGTTTCATGTTTGTCCAAGTATATATTGTTTAATGTAATGACAAATATATGTGTTACACTATTAACTGTTTTATTTTTTTATATAGTTGTGGGCATGGGAGCGTTTATCGCATATACGTCCACAACGATTACTCTCACGTGGTCCATTACATGATGTACATCCAGACGCTGGCCTAGCAGATGCTGTACCACCTGCACCTGTACTAGCACAAGGTCTTGCACCAGATGTACCTGTATATGATGACCTGCCAGTAAGGCCTCGTGGGTGTAGGTAAGACATTTATTTTTCATTAGGATTATACTATACATCTCACTAATCTTATTTTTGGTGCTATGCAGTTAGGATGTTGCATTTTCGAAGCACCACACGCCAACCCATGTCCTCAGACATTATAGAGATCAGCCGGATCAGATGCGCAATGAGCAGGAATATAAGCGGATCTCTATATTTTTTGGTACCTGTCGAATTTAATTGTGGATGATGTTGTTAGTTTGATGTTTTATGCATAAAATAGTGATTCGTCATTATTCATTGGTGGGTTGTTGGGTGTGTTGTCACATAACACCCATTTTCCATAGAATTACACCATAATTGAGACCCACCAATTCCAATCTAGGAATTTCACTTAATTTAGGTCAAATTCACATACCCAATTAATCAATCACCCAACTCTATCCATTTCACAACCATATACAAGTGGTATATATGGCTATCCATCTACCCACTACATATAACACCCTAGGTTGTAAAATAAACCCAAGTAGGAAGGAACCCTACCTCTTGAAGCGTAAAACGACGTTGGGAAGCTCCAAGACCCCAAAACAATCTTGAATCCTCACTTCTCCAATATCTCGTTTTTCAACCTTCGGTGAAATCCGTCGTTTTTGGTGTGGTCGCGTAGCCCTTGGGGAGGAGAGCAACTTTTTCTCATGGCCCGAGTGAATCTGAAACCCGTGGAGTCGTAGATCGTAGAGAGAAGTGGAGAGCTCCTTCTTTTTCGCTCTCTTCCCCTCTCACATTAACCGGCTGAAGAAAGTGTGGAAGAAATCAGATTTTTCCCCCTTTTTATACCCTCAATTTACTTGGCTCACATTGTGCCACACGACCTCTTTTTTCTGGGTCCGTTTTTGTCTCGAAACGATTTAATTTTGACCCGGTTTAAAATATTTTTATTTTAACTTGTCTTAAATTATTTTCCAACTTTTAAAAATTTATCAAAAATCCCATTTTTAGGTCACCCGAGACTACCGCCTCGTAAAACGTAAAAAATTTGACTATCTCAAAATTCAATGAAATTTAACGTGGTAACTAGATTTCATGAGACGAATTCAATGGTGAGGTCCGTTTTGTCATCCGAGATCTAGAAAAATTTAAGTTTTCAACCCGTACTGTAGCAACAAAATTACCAGTTTGCCATTGTTTACAAAAGTTTAAATTTATCAGGTTTTACATTCTCCCCACCTTACAAGAATTTCGTCCCCGAAATTCATACACACACATATACACTTAACCACATGCATATGCAATAGTTATGCAATACTACAAGACTATACAAGTGTACCTCCATCCTCAAATAAGAAGGGATAGTTGGTACGGATAGTGTCCTCGCGCTCCCATGTCGCCTCCTCCACTCCTCGATACTGCCACAACACCTTCACTAGCCGCACGGTCTTACCTCGCAAAACCTGCTCCCGGCTATCCATGATGCGCATCGATCCCTCCTCAAAGGTCCCATCAGCATTAACCATAAGTGCTCCCCCATCCACCACTTGAGTCGGATCCAAGGTGTATTTCCGGAGCATAGAGACATGAAATACTATATGAATACCCGATAGATTTGGCGGTAATGCCAACCGGTAAGCAACTGTACCAACCCTCTCAAGTACATCGAAGGGCTTGATATACCTCGGCGATAGCTTTTTCTACTTATCAAACTTGATCACTCATCTCTTAGGCATCACCTTCAAGAAGATATGATCTCCCACTTCAAACTCTAAAGGTCACCACCGTCTGTCGGCATAGCTCTTCTGTCAGCTCTGAGCCGTAAAAAGACGCTTCTAAATCAAGTTCACCTTCTTCGAGGTGTCTCTAAACAATTCCAAACCCATGGAGGGTCTCTCTCCCACCTCCGTCCAACAAATTGGAGATCGACACGACCTCCCATATAATGCTTCATAGGGTGCCATCTGTATGCTCGCCTGGTAATTGTTGTTGTAGGCGAACTCTACCAAGGGTAAGTGATCTTTTTAGCTACCCTTGAGATCTAGGACACATGTCCGTAGCATGTCCTCTAAAATCTGGATAGTCTTCTCAGACTGATCGTCTGTCTGGGGATGAAAAATAGTGCTGATCATCAACTGTGTTCCCATGGCTTGCTGGAAACTCTCTCAAAATTGAGTCGTGAACCTGGGATCCCGATCCGATACTATGGACACGGGCACTCCATGCAATTGGACAATCTCTCGTATGTACAACTTACAGAATTTCTCCAGTGTGAAGGTCATCCGCACAGCCAGAAAATGTGCTGACTTGGTAAGCCGATCCACTATCACCCACACTGCGTCATGTCCCCGCGATGTCCGTGGCAAGTGAGTCACAAAATTCATCGTGACATGCTCCCACTTCCACTCAGCAACCTCCAAAGGCTGGAGTAATCTTGCTAGTCTTTGGTGTTCAATCTTAATCTGCTGACACGTGAGACATCGGCTAACAAAATTCCCAACATTTTTCTTTATCCTGCTCTAATAATATTGGCGACGAAGATCATGGTATATCTTCGTGCCACCTGTATGTATAGCAAATCGAGAACAATGGAACTCTCTAAGAATCTCCTCTCTAAGCTCCGCAGACTGGGGGACCATAATCCTCCCCCTATACTGAATACCACCATCCGAGTGAATGGTCCAGCCCTCATCACCAGAACCTGCCTATACCCGGTCCTTGACGGATGATAACTCCACATCCAGCCCTTGGGACTCTATCACCCTGCTCAATAGGGTAGGTGTTGCCACTAAGCTCCCTAAAACACCCTGAGCCTGACCCATGTATCAGAGCCTGAACTGTCCCACAGTCTTGAGCATTTGCCACTCCCTAGAAGCCACACTACATGTCCCAAAAATTTCACCTCCGTAAGCCAAAATTCACACTTGCTGAACTTGGCGTACAACCGATGATCTCTCAAGGTTTGGAGAACAACCCTTAAGTGACCCTCATGTTCCTCCTCAGACTTGGAGTAGATCAATATGTCATCAAACAAAGACCACGACGAACTGATCAAGGTAGGGTTGAAACACCCTATGCGTGAGATCTATGAATGCCACCGCGACATTCATCAATCTGAATGGCATCACTATGAATTCAAAATGCCTGTACCATGTTCTGAACGCCGTCTTAGGGATATCCTTCTCCCTAACCCTCAACTGATGGTAGCTCGTGCAGAGATCTATCTTAGAGTAGACCCTTGCTCCCTTCAGCTGATCAAACAGATCGTCAATCCTAGGCAAAGGGTACCTATTCTTGATAGTAACCCTATTCAACTGTCGATAATCTATGCATAGTTGAAGGGTTTTGTCCTTCTTCTTGGCAAACAACACCGGAGTGCCCCAAGGTGAGGTGCTCGATTTAATGAAGCCCTTGTCCAATAATTCTTGCAACTGGACCTTGAGTTCCTACAACTCGGCTGGTGCCATCCTATGTGGAGTCACAGAAATAGCCAATGTATCAGAATGCAACTCAATGTTGAAGTCTACATCCCTATATAGAGGTAATCCCGGTAGTTCATCCAAAAAAACATCCTCATACTCACATACAACCCGAGTTAGACCCAACTCCTGTCTCGCCTCGTCCTCCAGGGTAAGGCTTGCAAGCCAATCCATCAACTGTTCGTGCCATCTTGAATCATACACGACTTGGGGTAAAACATCTTGCTTTTCCCCCTGGAACTTAAAAAAAACATCATCAGGTGTGTAAGTAGTGACCTTCTTCCTATCATAATTAATGACGATCTGATGTGTCGCCAACCAATCCATCCCGAGGATCACATCAAACTCCGACATGTCTATGAACCTAAGGTCCACCGTGAGTAGAATCCCTAAGATCTCTAACTCATAGTCCTGACATATCTGATCAACTCTCACCCTAGCTCCAAGGGGAGAACTCACATGCAACGACTCTTCTAAGGTCTCAACCTCTAAGCCCAAGTCTTTCACATATGATGCAGCAATAAAAGAATGCTATGCACCAGAATCAAATAACACTCTAGCCCATAAGCGAGAGAGTAGGAACGTACCCTGTATTACCGACTGATCTGTCGGCTTAATTTGTGGCACCATGTCTTGGCCTATCTGGCCTACTTGTGGAGTCCCCGCCCGTGTAATGGTCGAAGCATGAGTAGTACCCTGGAACTGGTACTGACTTCCCTGGCCCATGGTGGGGTAGGGAGGAATGTAGTGTATCTGTGGCTGCCCCACCGATGATTGGGACTGAGACGTCCTATAACTTTGGGTTCCTTGCCTCTGTGGGCAATCCCACTTCATATGACCTAGTTGGTAGCAATGGAAGCATGTCCTCTGACCCGCCTGATATGTAGTCCTCGGGCTTCTCCTGCCTTAGGAGGATCGACCTTGCCCTTGGCCCTGATAGCCATGGCTCTGTCCCTGTGGAGAAAAAGTCCTCTGCCTCTTTCTTGAGCTAAAAGAAGAGGATTGACCCTCCTTCTTCTTGTCCTTGGCACCCGACTCTCGGATGCTCCTTGCGTCCTCAATCTCTCTCTCAATAGTCATAGCTGTGGTGACCATCGAGTCCAAGTCTTGCAGAAGAAGACCCATAATTTTGCCTCGGATGGACAACTTCAAGCCATCCTCAAACTTTCTCACCTTGGCCATATCTGTAGCCACATAATCATCGGCAAACACATGCTAATTCTGTGAATTTAGCTACGTATTCCATCACCGTCATGGTTCCTTGTTTCAAGTCTAAAAACTCCCGGGCCTTTGCATGCTTAGCAGCCGCCGGAAAGTACTTTCCCATGAAGAGTTTCTTGAACTCTACCTAAGTCATAGCCTCCAAGTTCTTGGAGTCCTTCACCCAATCCCACCACAATTGGGATTCTCCTTCCAGCTGAAATGTAGCTAAGGTTATCTTCGTGGCGTTGGAGGTGATATCCATAGCCCTCAATACCTTATCGACTTGCCGGAACCAATGGTCAGCCACCATAGGATCCACCCCTCCCATGAAGACCGGAGGATTGTGTGCCTTGAAGTTCTAGAGATTACT